TGTGCCGGGCTGCCAGAGGGATGTCTGATTGCCAGCTTAGGCCCAATCCCCCAGGGAGCAGGCCTAAGTCAGCAAGTGGTCATCCCCCGAGGGGTCCCAGACTGCGAGAGGGCACAGGCCGGGCTGAGGGGACCCCCCCCCAACCCAAGTGCACAAATTTTTGTGCACTGGGCCTCTAATTTATAATAAATGTGTGGTCCTTTACATTTAATATTTTCAGTTTTAGGAAAATTTATGATTAGCGTGTTTATTTTCTCCTTCCTTTTTTCTCTTATTTTTTTTGCAAAATGAGGATTGGGAACCATCAAATAATTCTAACCCCATCTTCTCAATCCCCATCTCTTCCCATTCCAGGCCATAATATCTATTGATCAGGCAATTTTTTTTCCCTTGAGACACATTAGTGTGCAAGCATTTATGACACATTTGAGGGTTGGCGTTGAGAAGGTCCCCAGAACTATATCCTTGGTTTTACTGAATGAAACAGGAAAGGCTCTATATTTTTAAATGATCATAGAACCAAAGGTAAAATTCATTTCTACTTATTTCAATAATATCCAGAGAAAAATACATTGGACAAAAATAAGTTGAATTTTCTTATATTAAGTATAAAGGCATAGAGAGGCCAACAAAGCATAAATTATAGTTATTTATTATCTTCATAAAATATAAACATAGATATTTTTGTGTAAATAGAAAACCAGTCATTGAAATGCTTCATGACTTATTTCTTTTGAACTTCTTAAGTAAGGGTAGAGTTTGACTCTTTCTGTTACACTGACTCACAGAGCTGATGCTATTGGGGTTAAATATGTCACTTCCATGAACTAAGACAGACAAGGGGAGTCAGAGCCCAGAAAGTGCTTTTTAGTCTATAAATCAGCCAGATGGTGGGGAGTGCTTTTTGTATAAAAGTGATGCAAATGAGAAAAGTGAGAATTAAAATTGATCAATCTAGTTACCTAAATTTTAAGGGTTTTATTTAAATATATCAAGATGTGCTCTCGAAGTCATGTCATAATTTAAAATAATGTCTTTTTAGGTTTTTTTCCATGATCTGTAATCTTTCTATTATTCTTCCCACATTTAGCTCAAGGAGATGGCACCTCTGTTATAATAAAATTATTCCACTAGGGAGAAAGCTAATCTCCTTTTCATCTAATCAGGATTTCTAAGCATTCTGATAGCAGCATGAAATGAAAGTCTTGGTAGAATGAGAACCATATGTTCCTCATGATTTTTGCCCACACAACAAACAGACGTCAGCAGAAGTTGTATGTGTGATTTAGGGATCATGGAGCAGCAGATAACGACATGGTGCTCCTGGATCCAGAACACTGAGTAACCGGGGGGGGGGGATTTATTGTCTAGTAATGTGCACAGACACTACATTTATACTGTCAAGGGTGCAAACTGGTAATAAATAAAATAGTCCCATGACAAGAAACATGTGAATTAACCCAGATATCCTTCCTTGGTTTTATCAGCTGATATTTTCCAGTAAAGATTTCAGAAGTGGTTACACTTATAATAAATGTCCTTATTGCTATTCTCAAAAACAATTTTAAAAATTGTCTAAAAAGGACCTGCATGATAGCAAATCAGGCACTCTCACTCGAACCAACCATCCCTTCCTTGAATGGACAAATTATATTCAGGTTTCAAAAATAAGGGTTATCTTACTCTGGTCGTCTTCTTTTTACCACAGTCCAGATTTACCATCACCCAACTTGATGTTTTTTCTCTGTGTTATGAAACACTCTGCCAAATATGCCAATTGCATTCCCCAAGTGTGCTAGTCTGAGATTCGTGGGAGAGCGGGACCTTTCCCTTCCATTCCCAGGCC